ATATATTCTTTATTTTTAAGAATATATTCTTAATTTAAGAATATAGTCTTTTTCGATAGTGAGATATATATGTTTTTCTAGAGAGGCTTTTTATATTCTAATCAGTACATATTTTTATCAATATTACTATTTAGAAGATTTTTCTCTTAAAATAAGAAACTCTTCTTGGCGCCTATTTTAGTATAAAATATACTTAAATTAAGTGGGCTATCCCCAAAACAAGAAAACAATTTTTTCGGTGTATACAACGACAGAAACTATTAGCTAAAAAGAGAAATTTACATTCAAGGTGCAAGTAAAATTGAAATTGTTATCCTTCTCTTCGCTAAAAAAAAAAAAAAAAAACTAAGAATAAGTTATGAGTGCATTATTTAAACGTTTGTTTCACAGTTCACGACAGAGAATTCAAATTTTACGCGCATTTACTCTTAAGCAAGAGATAAGATATTATTAAGTATCCCGTGTAAACCGTAAATAAATATAAAGCTCTTTTGTTACAGTAATCTTTTCAACGAAATTTTCATGTCCGACACCTACGCACGAAAACAAAGACCGTTAGATTGTCTTAGGTGTAATTGCAATTTGACGCTCTAATTCGCGCGAGAGAAACCGCAGCGAGAGCGCGGCGAGCGATTATCTTCTTGAAAATGGACGCTAATAGCTCGAGGTGCGAGTCGCCAGCACGTGGCCGTCGGTAATCTTCATTAGCCGCGGCAGAAAAGAAGACGCGGTAATTAATGTCGTAAGATAACTCGAAATAAAATTTACGCGTCACGAGCAGGCGGCGGCGTTGAGCCGCGAAGCTCATTTTGCGCAACGCGAAAGCTGCGGTCGCGTCTTCCGAAGCGATTTAATCGTTAAGCGAGCGAAAACTCCGATTTGAAATAATAAATTTGCGAGCTTCCGACTACGCTATACTCTTTGTTATTCGCAATTTTTCACGAGCCACGGTCGAGACCGGGTAGGATTTGTTTTACAGATAAAATTAGTTCGCGAAAATGAGGTGCAAAACGAACCGCAATATTGCGCGCTGTTTATAAAACTCAGTTCTGTTTAAGCACTAAAATAAAATTTAATTATTTTGTATATGTATACACACACACACACACACACACACACACACACACACACATACATTCCGCACTCAACGAGATGCGAAATGAATACGCAACTTGTAATTTGAAGAATATATTGTCGGCTGTGATAAATATAGTATATAAGTTGATATTCTTAATGTCGTCATGACGCAATACGTCGCGCGGAACTTCACGTTACGCTTTTCAACGCGAAATGTATTTCGAATGTAATAAACGCATTTAACTTCGTAAAGTTTATTACGCCTCGTTGGATGGTCCGAATAATTATCTCACTCTCGTGATCCTATACTCTTTCTCGTTCGTTTGCGATGTTTCCGAAGACTTTGAAATTGTAATTAATCTGTTGTATGCAAAATGTTCGCGGCCGAGATCACATGCGCATGACGATGATCGGGAAAAGCTCGAGGATCGTTCCCGACGCTTGTACTGTATTGCAATTACGTTTTGAAAATTTGATTTCAAAGAATTTCACGCTTTTTAAGCTCTTTTTAGATTTTCCAGCTTTTTCAGACCGGTGAATAAAAACTACAAGCTTGAATATTTATGAAAAATACATTTTAATCAAACATTTTGTTTTATTTTTCTATTTGGACTTTCGTTTATTATTTACAGACTTGGTTGCAAGAAAGTTTTGGAAAAAAAAAAAAACCTTTTTGCGCTGCCGCGTTCGCAGTTTGATTTAATTAGATTTTCTGCGCAGCGTACAACGAAAAGTACAGAAGCGGCACAAATAGAAAACCGAAAAAAAGAAGGAGAAATCGCGACACATCTCAGTCGTCGTCGGTAACGATCCTCTATGCGTTTCGCATGTTCGCGACGAGTTCGCCAATTGGGTCAAATTCTGCTGAAAGAAAAGTCAATCAAATATATATATATATCGTTGACACATATCTCTTCCCGTAGAATGTGACCTAATTGACAGTGAATGGGTGCAAAACTGTGAACAAATTTATGTTTCTTCCAAGCAAGTAAAATATTCAGCAAAAAGTAAACAATTTACAAACGCAATTTTTTAACTTGCACAAATGTCTGTCTTTTTTAAAAACATATACACAAATTTCTTTTATTAAGCGTTTCTTAATTAAACACTACATCACATTTTTACGAGTTTCCAAATGTGTACACCGAAAAAATTGTATTCTTGTTTTGAGGATATCCCACTTACTTTAAGTATATTTTATACTAAAATAGGCGCCAAAAGAAAAGTTTCTTATTTTAATCTTATTTTAATTTTATTTTAAATCCTCTAAATAGTAATATTGATAAAGAATATATACTGATTAAAATATAAAAATCTCTCTATAGAAAAACATATATATCTCACTATCGAAAAAGACTATATTCTTAAATAAAGAATACATTCTTGATATTGAAATATCATATATTAATTATATTGAAATTATATAATATTATATTAAAATTATATAAACTATATTGAAATTAAGAATATATTCTTAAATAAAAAATATATTCTTAATTTCGGAAGAATATCCATGTAAAATCTTTAAGAAGATTTTTTAAGTATAAAATCTTAAATAAAGAATTCTTAAATAAAGAATATATTCTTAATTTTTCGGAAGAATATCCATCTAAAATCTTTAAGAAGATTTTTTAAGTATAAAATCTTCTACTTACGAGAATATAATTTTTTCGGTGTAAACTAGACGTAAAATAGTAATTAGAGTTTGAACTATTATTCCATTACATACATATGAAGTAAATTTTTTTACTATTGAAAGAATTTATTTAATAATCGAAGACGTAGCGAAATAAAGGGAATTCCGGCAAATATGTTTTAAAAAAGAATCTTTATCGTCAAAATGCACCAGAGTGTTTTTGCACACAATATTTTGCACCCTTCAATTGGCGAAACGCGTGTCGATAAACGGCGAAAGGTGTGTGTGATGAGATGTTATGAAGTTACAAATAACACCGATAAAAAGGAAATAAAAAAAAAAAAGAACTGAAGAGAAGAGACGAAAGAGAAAAACGACTCACCCAACGACGGTGTCGTGTAGTCCCAACTCTCGGAATCGTTCTTGTAGACGTTGAGCTTTGTAGGCTGGAAAAGATAACAGACAACGATATTTAAAATATCGACTTGAAATATCACAGAGAAAATTGTTTTCTTTTTTTTTTTTTTTGTTTTTTGCGCGCGCACGTCAAAGAGCAACGTTCCTTGACTTAAAAGTGTCATCAAAATAGAATGTAATAAACATAAAAAATAGTAAAAGAAAAAAACAAAAATATTATTTTACTATAATCAATCACAGGTATTATTGTAGAAATATTGTGGATTTAAATATTTATATATCGAACACTATCTCTCGCACAATATTTCGACAACTAACGAATAAAATTGTTTTCACATAGATATCAAGTCTCGATAATTTCACTCGCAAACACATTTTATATGTTTCAAACGAATAATACGTATATACATTCGGTCGACGTGCACCCGGCTCCGTTTATTAAAACAGTTTCATATCCGTGGCAAACGAGAGAAACCTGGTGTACGTGAGAAACAGTATTATATCCACAACTCAATATCTATCTCAATTTTCGAAGGTACTGCGCGCGCTTGTCGTATCCTCCTCCTCTTCGATTACAGCAACGGAATAGGTCCGCGCGCTTGTTCTCGGTTTGCCTAATGAATACTTCGTCGAATCTCTCGGGCATGGGAGGACTAACTTGATTAGCTTAAGTGACGCAAATCCCCGGGTGTTAAATAGAGCAGTTTCTCTCCGCGGGTTTCTCTCGCGCGTGTGGTACTTGCGGAGTTCTCTCGTTCGGCGAAAGCTGCACATATAATCGATTCGGTCCTGGCCGTGTGTGTGTTTTGCGCTCGTTGGCACCGCGCGCAACAAAAATTCACGTTTCGTACTATAAAGCGGAGAGGATCGTAATATCGTTCCGATATACACGCGGGCGTAGCTAGCTGTGCACACAGAAACGCTTCCTGCAGCAGCGCTTTCAACACCATAAAAACGTCACGCTTCAGGCTGAATAACCGCCTCCGATATATCTTGCCGTCGCGCGCGTCCTCTTGTATAATAATAATAATAATAATTTCACGAGGTAAAACCCTCGAGCGGAGAAAGTAAAGCGGAGCAGACAAGAGAGAAACGCACCGACTCGGCTTAGCTGCGTTTACCGATTGCGCACCGAGCGGAAAAAAAGTTAACGCCGCGCTGTCTGCAATAAGTCGTCGCGTTCCAGCGTCGCTGTGCTAGGGTAGAGAGCCGGGCCCCTGTTGCAGGCAGAGATCCGGCGCATTCGTGTATCTTGAAACAAGCTTCGCAATTGAGTTTCTTGCTATAATGTACCGTATAAGGTTAAGGTATATATATACGACGACTTTTCACGTGATATAACTTTGAGGTCTTATACCATAAGGAAGGCTTTAAGTCACGTCAAGAGAAATATAAATTTTTGACCTGTCACGCACAACTCGGCAATCCGTTATCGCGTTGTTTTACCCATCTGCAAAGTCTGTTCTAATTTTTCTTTCGAATTTTTTTACAAGCGACGATCAAAGAAAAAGATATAACACACGAAATACATATACGTAATTTCAATAAAATTCTTTTCCTACGAGATACAACACCGAAAAAAATTGTATTCTTGTTTTGAGGAGATATCCCACTTACTTTAAGTATATTTTATACTAAAATAGGCGCCAAAAAGAGTTTCTTATTTTAAGAGGAAAATCCTCTAAATAGTAATATTGATAAGAATATATACTGATTNGAATATAAAAAGCCTCTATGGAAAAACATATATATCTCACTATCGAAAAAGACTATATTCTTAAATAAAGAATATATTCTTAATTTAAGAAGAATATCATCTAAAATCTTTAAGAAGATTTTTTAAGTATAAAATCTTCTACTTACAATTCTTAAATAAAGAATATATTCTTAATTTAAGAAGAATATCATCTAAAATCTTTAAGAAGATTTTTTAAGTATAAAATCTTCTACTTACAAGAATATAATTTTTTCTGTGAAGTGATTGAATATCAGGTTTTGTTTTTTTTTTCCACAAAATGTTCCGGTTTTCTAAGTTCAACCAAATTAAGTCTTTTATTTAATATTCGATAGATGTGTTAAGTATTGCGAGACAAACTCCAAGCGCCTCGGTGGCCCAACAGGGAAGGCGACGGCCCGGAAAGTCGGAGATTCCAGGTTCGACTCCCAGGCTGAGTTTTTTTCGCAATATTTTAAAATTATTTAGAAGGATATTCGGGGTCCTTCATATATATACGTGTGATGCAAATCCAGCATCCTATATGGAGGAAAAAAAAAATTATTTCGACGTATATATGTGTATACATATATATATTTTCAAGCACATTCTCCGCATAAGATCCTGCAAACGGCTCCTACAACCGAATTTATTTCACTCATTTGTTTAAGTCTTTTATTTTCAATTTTTTTGCAATCATTTAGACTTCGCGCTGTCAAGTGCAGATATACGAGAACGAGAAAGCAGAAGAGGCTGTCGGAGATGTGATTGAAAGTTTTGATTGCTTGCGGAAAATATAGAACCGATTCTCTGTTAAAAGGAATTCAGCGTAAAAAAAAAAAAATCCAAAGAAAGAAAATCAGACGTCGTTGTCTCGCGAGGCAAGAGAACGATGCGCGATTCTTTCGCAGTTAATCACGTTTAAACGAGCTAAATGCGCAAACACGTTCGTGCGGAATGCGCGCCAACAATAGCCACGTCTGCTGTCTGAAATGTTAAGCAAAATTTAACCACCTCATTTTTTGTCGCGTGACTCGCTTTTATTAGAGAGAGAGAGAGAGAGAGAAACTCACCTCCAACATTTCGCGAAAACCCAAAAAACTTCTCAAATGCTACGAAATTAATAAAGTTTTTTTACAAAAACAAAAATTCAAATTTTCACTTAGCGTTGTTATTTTTATATTATTTTGGAAAGTGTAAGATGAAAACCTTTTTTTCAATAATTTTTCATCGCCAACTCGCAAAACAAGGTTCCCTGTTCCTTGGATTACAAAGGGTTCTATTTCCGAGCGCAATCGATCGATGCGGCTCATTGCACGTGCAATTTCTGGGCAATCTTGCCGCAATTTACAGGGAGTTTCAGTTACATATATATAAGCGAACCCATTCAGACGATATAACACAATATGCAAGTTCGTTTGTGCGGAAGTTTAACGAGTTTTCATGTAAACATCGCACACTTCGCTGTAAAATACTCGCCCGCTGTAAAATATTGGAACGCGCTATATATATTTAATGTAAATTTTTTTCCACGAAAAGGAGAAAAATGCGTATTATCATATTTTTAAATTCGCGGAAAAGACTATTTGTAGGATTAGTCAACGGTCTGCGTGAGAGACAATGTGTACTCTCTCAAAAAGCTCTCTTCGTGCGAAATTTTCCGAAGCTTAGATTGCCAACCCTACCAGTTGTTGAAGTCGCTTTGAAGTTGGGCGCGAGAATTATTCAACAGGATGCAATCCTGATGTACCAGAGCTGGTACACTATCTCTCTCTCCCCCACCTATCTTTCAGGTTTAATCATTTCCCCAGTGTGTGCACATCCGATGCAGAAGGCCTGACCTGCGCATCCTCCCGCGCACCGGAAGAGTGAAATTAGTTCCTCTTTATTGCGCCTAGGTGAGAGGTAATGTCGTTTACTTCGTCTCGACGTTACTCGCCCCCCCCCCTCCCCCGACATTAATCCGAGTAGAAAGTAACTTCGTACCTCATTGCGTCGCACTTGTAAATAGCGACAAGAAGTTGTCCGGACATGGCCGAGGCTTTATAACTCGAATATTATTACCTGAGAATGCTCTCTTTTCGCAAGTAAGTTTACGTAAATATTTCTCGGAGAAAACATGTGACTATAATATAAAGAATATAATATATTAGGTCTAACGGAAAGTTCTGTCCGTTTTTGGAATAAAACAAAATACAAATTTTTCTGAATTTTTCAAAAATCGGATATACAAATTGCCCTCACGCTGGCAAGAAATCATTAATAATAATGGCAATATTATATTATTTAGTCAAGTTTATTGACGGTAAGAAAAATTTGTATTTTGTTTTATTCCAAAAACGGACAGAACTTTCCGGTAGATCTAATATATTTTTACTCCAAAAGTAAATTGTTGCTTAATAGGTACGTAATTCGTAAAGAAAACAATTTCATTTGCCCCGTACATTGCACGTGCTCTGTATAGTTTTTTTTTTTTTTTATATAATTCGCGATAAATTTATATGTATATATCAGAAATAACAAATTATTTTAAAAAATATTTCTGAAAGAGACTCGAAGACTTTTTAAGTCTCAAAGACACATATTCAGAGACTTGCTCCCGCTCTCCGATGTCCATAATTCAGAAGAGGAACTCTTCGCGCGGATATGCAGCGGCAAATGGGACGGACTTTGCGTGCCGCAATTGCAGCCTCGCCCGGGAAAATTATTAAAGCCGGAAGATAAGACGGCGCTATGTAGCGGGGCGTAGTTGAATAATTCAAGCGACTCGAAAACGCTAATTTCACCGGCAGAAGAGAGAGAGAGAGAGAGAGAGAGAGAGAGAGAGAGAAAACGAGAGAAGAGAGAGAATGTGCTCCGCTTAACCTATCTCGGAGCACCTCATTTCGTCTGACGACGGAGGAGCCTCTTTTTTTTATTGGATTTCGGACATTGAGTTAAGCATTTTTTTTAGAATAACACTGCGGCCGGATTCCGCTGCGGCATTAGCGGCTTACAGCCAGAGTTGATTCGGAAAATGACTTTAAAAGACTGACGACATGCAATTTTTATTTCGCAACGAAACAATAATTGCAAGTTGGTTTCCTATAAAACGTACGTTGGAAAACCATAATTTGCAATATGATAACAATATAAAAACGCGAAGTACCTTCACGTGTGTGTGTGTGTGCAGATTTCTTCTTTTACACACATCCACCTACAAGATTTTCTTTTTTATTAAACTCAGTTCGGAAAGTATATAGTCAACGGATTACTTTTGCCCGTGGCGTGGAAAAATTCCGGTTGGTCTTGAATGCAACATTTCAGCTGGGGGAT